GAAGAAGGCCCCCAGGTGACCAGGTGTACTCCCACGGACACCTGCATACTCAGCTGCCCCCTTAAGGTATGTGAGCGGTCGTTGAGTCATTATACCGAATAATTATTGTACCTAGACGTACATTTTTTATTACTTTATTATTCAAATTAACCGCTTCAACTAAACATACTCGAAAGTTTTTGGGCACTCGACATACATTTACCACTGGTTAACCTTCTCAATCACATATAGCTGAAAACAAGACCTCAAAAATATTAGTCTTTATTATAAGTCCAATTCTAAACTATTACGTAGAGCAGTACTTCAGAATAACTTTACGTAGCTTAATATTCAGTTGCACTCATCACTATGTTCTGATGGATTTAAATTCTCTTCTTTGTTATTATGACGTCATCAAAAGATCAAAATACATCCAAAACACATAAAGCGTGTATTGTGTAAGCATTTTTTTTAGAGAAGCATATGGCGAGAAATCCAATCAAAGAAAACATCATAATACTGAGAATTTAAAAACTAACATTGCAAAACTAGTATATTTTGCAGCCAGAGAATATATTACAGCCGAAGGTCATGTTAACATCCAAACAGATTAGTCTAGTTAATAAGTTCAACTTAGCAATCTGCCATTCTAGTATATACATGTCACATACAGATAGCTCCAAAAATTCTCGCTCTCTCTCTATGGTGATCAGCGCCAACATTACCTTGAATTGTCTAACTACATCCCACTAGTTTCTTTAAGCACAGCGGACACAAAATCAAAATGCTGCGCAACAGAATATCGACATTCACATACATCGCTATTATCGACCGACTCTATCAAATCTACAATCTACAAGTAAGAACTTTCCATCATTTCATCGAGGGTACTGCAAAAGTTTTTTCCACTTCAGGTAGTATCTTCAGGGTTTCGTTGAGGCAAAAAAATTAAGGGTCAATGAAACATAGTATATTGACCTCGGGGTATGATTATGCTCTTTACGCGTGTTCCGGGAATCTGATAATTGAAAATTTTTTACACATTGTGGCGTTATCGAAGGGGTGACGCACCTATTTGCGGCTCCGGTTCGATGCGGACGGGGCGGCACATTTTTTATATTGAAGCTTTGAAAATTTGAATTGCAACACACGATTCTCTGTTCGAAATATTCGAAATAGTTCTAACAAAGTATTGCAACAGATTATTTTTTTATAATTCTTTCCTTGTACTCTAAAATTTTCCATGCAATTGATGTGAATGATTGTGTGAAGAAAAACATACACTGTCAACTTTTGAAGGGCGTCTCTTTTCAACATTAAAAGAAAGCCAGAGGTTATTGAATATGTAATTAGAATATAGAGCACCAGAATGATTTATTATGTTCTGCATAACGTTGTTCTGTATTGTTTGGAGTAACTTGCTCTTCTAAGTTGTCTGCAGCTTCTCTTGCAATATTGTGGACCGATGCCACAGCACAAATCACTGCCACAGCTTTAGTTTTATCATAAGAAATAACTGAAGCAAGCGTATTATGGAGAGAACTACCTGAACTACCAGTTGCCTAAAATGTCAATGTAATGGGGAACCCTTTGTTCGCAAATCAATCCCGCTCAATTGTTAAAAAAAATCCATGTCTCCAACATGGCTCTTGGGAAGTGTCACTACTTTTTAGTGTAGTGTACGAAGATTGAAATAATTGTAATAACGCAAATTAACACATAAGGCAAACTTGAGGAATAAGTACGTCATAGATTTGAAGTGATATGTATCTCTTTAGAGCATTATCAGTGTTAAAGTTATTACATTTGCACCGACATTAATTATCTCAAAAAATTCTGTCACTTCTGTGTGAAACTTTATTACTATCTCATTTTAATTTTGATTATACAATCATTTCTGGATTGTGATGATATTAAAAGTATGCAAACAGTCCAAAGTTCTTGTATAAAGCTAATAATGCTTGCTTGAAGAGTTGGAACGGCTTTCCATGGTTCACCGACTTGCTTTGCATTCAGTATGTCTGTATTATAAAATAATTAGGTGAAAATGTCCGCCCTATCTTCATGAAACAATAACATCGTATAGATAATCACAACATAAATATTCGTAGAAAATATTTGTTAACTATACCTTTTCAAAAAAAAAAAAAAATTTCTCCTGTCAGATTGTGTTTATAATTAATAAATATAAAATAAATGATTTCACCCAATCTATTGACTCATTCAAAAGACCCAGGAAATGCAAATTTTTGACACGTTGATAATTAGCACGACATTTTAACGACGATTCACTAATTAAGTAAGAATTTTGCTTAAATAAAGAAATATCTTTTTTTTTCTCTTTTTCTGAAAAACTGTCTTCTCTCTTCTTTCTTTGTCATTGTATCCTGTTATTCTTCTATACCGTTCTCCACATAAGGTAAACTTCGATTATTGTATTTAAGGGGAACATGAAATGTTGTAATATGTATTATTTTTTTGTTATAACTTTACTTTTGGTTAGTTTGGCCTCAACAGCACCTTTCTTTGGGAAGGAAGTTGCGTCAAGGCCCATTATTCCTTTGTATAGCTTAATATAAATTTATATAATTTGGCATGATAAACATTACTGTTGTTATTATTTTTTTTTGTTTTTTTTTTTTTAAGAGAGGAAATGCATCATGCACGAGTTGCTGTCTTTTCTCTGGGCAAAACAGTGAGAGACTCTAACCCACTAAAACCTCTTTATTTCGACACCCTGTATCGCATCCATGGAACCATCCGTGTTTGACATGACATCATGGATGGTAGGTTGTGTAGTCTTCTGAGATTATTCTTAAACCGGTTGTCACGCCATATTGCCTTTTTCTCTCCTCTTTCTCCTTCTGAGTCATTATGGTTTTAATCATATCGTGCATTGTTTTCCACTGTTCCTCATTTTCTAACATTTTGAGAACTAAATTGTTTCGTACTACGCTCCATCTCGCACATTTAAAGATTGTATGCTCTACGTCGCCTATTTCATTGCAATATATACAGGTGTCAGTTGTATCCTTTCCAAATTGGCGTATGCCCCAAAACACCCATAGCCTGTGATGCCTTGTGTTAGATAATAGTCAGTGTGCCGAAAAGCACAATTTACCCAGTCTTCTATGTTGTTTATAAGTCTTTTAGTCCATTGGCCTTTTCTATAATTATTTTCCTATACATGTTTCCAGGTTTGTATGCTTCTTGTTCTTGCAGTCATATTTGAGTTCTTTGGGTTGTGAGCACCCTGTTGGTATACATATCGCCTCTCCTGAGTAAGAAAGTCGAAGGGTATAGCCCCCGTTATAATTTGTAAAGCGGCAGTCGAGACGGTTCTATATGCTGATGCCACTTTGATTATCATTTTTCGCTGGACCCTGGAGATCATATCTTTATATTTGTTATGCTTTAATGCTGTATACCATATGGGTAACACTCTCCACCATTCTGCATAACACAATTTTCTTGCAGCTACTAGGGCCTCTTATATTTGGCATCAGCCTTGTTAGCCTTGCCACCCGATCTTTAGCTTTCTCTATTGTGTTTTCAATATGTCTTTTAAAGCTAAGCCGTTCATCCAAAGTGATACCTAGGTATTCTACGGTTTTGCTTGGTTGTATTTCCACCGCACCCAGATTGATTCGTATGTGATCTCTCTTTCTTTTGCCTTTTAGGATGAGCATTTTTTTGCGGGGCCAGCTGTAGCTCTTATGCGATTTCATCATCATTCATTTCTTGATAATACGTGCTCGTTTTCAGCTGTCACCACTAGTGCCAAGTCGTCGGCAAAACCAATCGACATGGGATAATTTGTAAGGTCCATCGTAGGCTATGTTCCAGAGTGTTGGTCCTAGAACTGAGCCCTGTGGGACCCCTGCACTTATGTTGATGTTTTCAATTTTTACTATTACTATTATTATTATTATTATTATTATTATTATTATCATTATTATGATTATTGTTATTATTATTATTTTATGTCGAAATTCCGTTCTACGAATCTTGTCCGTTTATTAGAGCTGTCCGCCGGTAGAGTGTTCTCTGTACCGATAGCCGCTCTTTTTTCTTTTTTACTCCGACTAACCAAAATAACAGTGTTTGTTTTTAAGTAGCTCATAAAAATGCACCTCCCGGCCGAAGGGAAACAGTGCAATCTAAAAGTCTCATCGGTATATCGGCGCCCTGGCAAAAAAATAACCAACTCATCATAAAAAATGGGCCGACGGAACAACCGGTCAGACACGACGCGACAAACGTCGCCTATAAGTGGATTAAGTCACGAAGTATGGAAGGTGCGGTCCGCACCTTGGGACACACTGCGCGTCATGTGTCATGGTGGATCATATTATGTCCGGGGTCTACGGGTCCCCTGCGGCGGCGACATGACAAACACGCACTGCATTTCGCATTACAAGTAGATATAATTAATTAATTGACTATACAGAAGGTCGGGATATTAATAAGTGATGTCGGTCCGTACTTTATCGCGTCAATTATGGAATAGGCTCGAGAGGATCTATTTATAGATTGTTGGGCGACAATTCGTTTTATACCACCGTGCCCACTAGCCTACATGTCAGTCATACCTGCGTGACGTACGTCTGCGCCGATTACATCGCTTTCTTGACCCGCAGTGAAAACCTGGACCATTGCTTTATTAGCAGATTCAAAGCTGCCTATATTATTTGCGATTAGCCGTGAAGTTAAAAAGGCAACACTGCATATTTTTTTAGATAGTTAACGTTAGTTTGTCGCGGGCCTTCTATGAGAAAATCCCGAAAACCCACCACGATATCACCCGACATAATACTGATATTCTTTTGCCGACTCAATAGAAAACTTCTATCTAGCAAGAATTTTGTCGATTTGTGACCATGAGATAAAACGCATCTCAGCACTTATTTTTAATAAACACTGCCAACAATGATGTTTGAAACTATCCCAACACTGTCATTGTTTAAGTCACCAATATGCAGATTTGCGATTTTCTTTAAAATTTAAAATTACTTACTTACTTTTGAAGAATGACTCTAATTTCTGAAGCTCTTTGTTTACCAGTTTTGGCCTCTTAAGTGGAAATTCAGCAAAAATTCCTTCCTTGGTTTGGTAGGTTTCAACCCTGATTATCCTAGATTTTTCAGTGTTTTTCGCAAATTTTTGTGCTGCTAGATATATCAAAATCATCAAATCTGCACTGCATATATCAAGATCCACTTTTCTCTTCTAGGCAAAAGAGCTTTTCATGCCTTCCCGTTTCATGGCACTTGCATAATTTAAGGTATGTACATACAGGAACGCATCGGGCACCTAAAATTAACGACATTTTATTAACACAAAAAAAAAAGAAACTTTTTATACTAAAGTGTGTACTTTAATGTTTACTGAGATGTCACCCTGACTTTTTTCCTGTTTTATATAATGTTTTATAATATAGATTTTAAATCAAATTTGGTTAACACAATGGGGCAAACTTTCGAAACTTTTGTTATAAGTTATGAACCACACAGTTGATCTAAAATATCTAAAATGCTTTGGGATACAGGGCTTTAAATTTTTATTTTTGTTTTTTAACATGAGAAATTCGATTTTGTTGTTAATTAAAAATTTTTAGTGAAATAAATGAATTCTTCAACCATTTTTATGTAAAAAATATTCGAATTTGGGGTCGGTTGGTCCTAGCGACTTCGAAATATTTTGGTTTAAAGTAATGATCAATGCATGTGAAAGTGTGCAAGTGAATCAATTTTATAAAATAACCTTTTTTACTCAACATAAGTTATTTTTAAATAATTAAATAAAAATGTACCACCTCTTCATCTCGAAAATTCCTGGAGTTTCGTTCTACAATAGTCATTTATTTGTATATATAACGGTAAAATTTCGCTTTTTTACGTGACATGACACGTTAATATTTTGTAGAAATAAGAACTAGTTTCACATGTTCACAAAATAAAAAAAATAAAAATCTCATGTTTTTTAAATACACACACACAAAATAAAATATCTCATGTTTTTTAATTTATTTCAATTTTATTGTATCATTAAGGATTAAAAAAACTACCATTTTTCTGAAATATATCTATCAATAGTTATCCGGATTCTTTAGTTCTTCTTCATTTTGAATATGTATGTCTCAAACTAAGGTTTTTAGATGTCCTCAAAGGAAATAAACCAAACTATTAAAGTCTGGTGCCAGGTTGGCGATAATTTATGTTTTATATGCATTTGCACTTGCAAATTTGTATCAAATTCAGGACAGCATACTCAGGATTGATAAAATTTGACATTAAAAAAATAATCTCATTCTAATCGATTATCTACTACCCAACTGTACGTAAACACGTTGTTCTATTTGTATTGTTTACATCACATTACAAAAAAAATCATTGTTGAGCAAACTTATGCACTGCAAACCAAAGAAGACTTCGAGGTTATAATTAAACAAAGTTTTAACAGAATTGTATAAATGATGTGTCAAGTCAGGTCATGACAATGATTTTGAAACTGCAATTGGCTAATAATATACATATAAAGTACAAGATTTGTAGGCCCTTTTAACTCTTCATTATTTTTAGTTGAAATAGTAAATAGGATCTGAACACATTTGTGTTGATTTGATATTGAGCTGAAATATAATTATTTAAAAATTTGTAAGCTGCTTATCATAACCAGGAAAAGAAAGTTAGTTATTTTTATTATCATTTTGTCACAATCATTAAAATGAGACAAAATCATAATCGACAGAAGGTTTAGTGGAGTACGATAGCAACATTTTTTCCATCTAAAGTAAGCAAAACTACCAATGAATTAGCTAGGATATTAAATTTACCTAGATAATCAACAACAAATTATTTTTCATCGTGCGAAACAGCCGAGAAGGGGGTACCGCGTTATTAAATGTCGAAGTATACGTAATTAGTTGTTGCTAATCAGAAAAGGTGGAGCCTAAGCATAACCAACTTGATTCCTTGGGTGTAAAATAAATGCGAGATTTTGCAAGATAGGAGGGAACTTTTTATGCAATCAGCTGGGAGGAAAACAATGCAATGGCGGAATCGACGAGGTATTTCAAGGACTTCTCGATTAGTTTGTTTAATTTGCAAATGCAGCAACAGTCATGCGAAACGGATGGCAGTGCCTTTGTTACTGCAATGTTGATGTTGAGAGATTGGTGAATTTGCGTATTTAGTCCGTTTTTTTAAATATATGCAGTACAAATTGTCTAAGAAGAAAATCGATATATTTTTTTATTTTAAGATAAATTATATTGGGCATAATGGGGCATATTTAAATTAAATGGAACAGAATTTTTTTTATTTTAACTTATTATTATCATTTTAAATTTATTAAAGTCACAATTTTAGTAAGTTATACTGATCTAGCTTCATCCGGCCTCATCGTTCTAATCTAGTCTTTTAACTTCATTCATCATATGCGTCATAAACGTAGTGGGTTATGACCATGATGACATTATATATTTTGTTATTACCAAGCTGTCAAATCTAATCCTGTTAACAGCTCTTTTATACTGTTGGTTTTTATATCCAATAGTTGCTGATTATTTTGACGAATTTGACAACTCGACGATTTTCAAACTGGATTAAAAAAAAAACGCTTATAACGCATATAATTTTTAAATTATCAGACATTTTTAATTGATTTATTATTTACATATAAATTTTAAATTCGTTACGTAATTTTATTTTTCTTTATTATTTTGTTTATTTTACTATTTCCTTACATTCACGGTAAACTAATTTATCAAAGAAACTTCCTCAGGCTACTGTAAATTTCTCTTGTATATTTAAATGTAAAGTAATAGTAAATATTTTATCTACGAATTGCATTTATTAGATTTCCAACTGCCATGGAACAGTAAAAATTTACAACTAAAACGAAAGTAGCTAAAGCAATAAAGAGATAGACAAGGGTTGTCTTAATTAGTTTTACTTAAACAAAAGAAATTTTGAATTTGATTTAGCGCGTAAACTATTCAGTGATTAGTGTATTTAGTATTTTTCACTTTAATGCATGCAGAGGTTGATATTTGGTATTATTATAAGTTAATAATTGCAAAAATTTTGCTAGAAATAAAACTGTATTGAATACGTATTGCGTCTTCTTTGTGTTGTATTATTTTGGATGAGAATTGTGCAGATTTTTTCAAACCGATTCACCCTGCTGTAAATTTTGATAGTGTGTGCGTATCGTAAAAGAGCTGATTCCGCCTTTGTTATTATTAATTATAAAATCGTACTTAAGGAAAATAAGAAAAGTATGGGTGTGGGAATTTCTCTCCACGCCTCTGCGTTTTGTTATGATATTGATATGATTTTTTTTATTCTAGACCTTTTTTTTTACCTTACAAACGAATCAACACGAGACAGTTTCCATTATCCATGTTTGGTTTAAGGTAAATATTATTCACAACTGCTTGAAAATCCAACACTACTGAGGCATGGATCAAGGATGACGCTTTGCATCACGAAAATAAATGTTAAATTGAATCTAGTCAAAATTATATAAATTTTAGGGTGTTAAGGTTTTATGTATTGATATTAGTGGACTACGGACTTCTACCACAAGCTTTTTGGTCCACGTTTTTAGGCCATTTTGAATCCCATTCGCAACAATCTACTTTATCATTAAAAGGTAAGACTGCTTTGTTTTGTTTCCGTTTGTTTTGTTGCTTTTTGTTTATACTTTTTGCAAAATTTACGTTGCATACGTTTGTTATTTGTTTATATTCCTGGTATAATTTATTTCAATCTTCAAATCGTGTTGGTTTTCGACAGACCCTCAGCAATAAAACTTTAACGACGTAATTACCTATTGTTATTGGGTAAAACTATTAAAAAATACTACATTATTCAACAATGGCGGTAAACGGCATTTGACTCGCTAGTTTGCACAAGCGGAGCGAGTGCTTAATAAGCGAGTATGATATAGTATATTATGCAACAAGTGCGGTATTTGACTCACGAGTTTATTTGACACGAGCGGAGCGAGTGCTTAATAAACGACTGAGTTAAAAAGTTTACCGAACGTGTTGCATACTATACTTTTTCTACGACCGTTAATTTTTGGGTACATTTTCGAAAAACAACACGAATACATTCACTGACATGACTGTCGGAATTGACAAATGTCAAAATTCAAAGCGTGGGAAATATATCTGAAAACATGTATATAAACAACGGAATAAAAACCTTTTTTAAAACGTTATGTTGTTTACTTAACTTTTAAAATTGATCATTAAGTGGTTCATTTAAAGGAAAAGACTAATTGAAAGAAGAACGAACCAAGGATAGAGCTTTTAAAAGGATTAAATTTTTATTTGAATTTTTATTTGAAAATGGTACAATTGGTCTGGGCAAGATATTAATATAAAAACTGTAAAAACCACTAAAGTTCATGCGAACAGTACGTAAAATTTCTGTGGGAAACTTAAATTATAAATGTCTCTTTACTTACCAACTAGTCCATTAGATTTTAATTGCAAAACATTTTTCTATGTGTTTGGGTACATTTTCGCAAAATAACACGAATACATTCACTGACATGACCGTCAGAATTGACAAACGTCAAAATTGCGCTCAAACCCGTACGGTAAAATCCCGGAAATGTCCGAAATGGCTCGGATCCGTGAGAAATGAAACTGACGTGATAAAGTGACGCTTCCCGCACGCTAGGGTTTGGATAAACTGAAAATGAAATTAGAAAAAGTTGAAACCACTATCAATATAAATCCTCCATAGAGTCGTTTGTAAAATGGGATCTAAGTACCGCAAAATAGACAAAAGGCAAATAGTAATGGAATCACACAAATTACGCACTTGGAGATTTAGTTACCTTCAAGAAATTAAAAGATGTAGATTAGGCAACAGATCCGCAATTTACCTTGCTGAAACATGGTTCGATACACACGGGACTGAATCCAAAGGATGCTTTGATTCCACTGCAAGAAAAACGCATAATTTGAGTGAACAGCATATGTCTTCGTCTATATTATTGCATGAAGATTGAAGATTTGTGGAACCAAGTAAAATCAAAGGACAGGGCAGAAAATGTTACTCCTACTTTAAGTCCCAGTGTTATAAATTTAATAAAAAAAGTAATTAATAACATACCAATTGAGACCTCTTATAATTATTATGAAACTCGACTCTGATAGTGAAACAGAATTAGATTTTGATATTTAGAATAAAAATTCCTAGCTATGAATTTAATGCATGTATTTAATGGCATTGTTTTTTTCTTAGTATAATCTAATAATATTATACCCACCTAAATAAACAAAAAAAAATACATTATTAGCAAAACCTTTGAGAGTCCGTCCCTGTTTATGTTCCATCCTCTACCGTTCCGTCTCTATCTACCGGACCCGAGTTTTATTGCCGTCGGCTGGTAACTTCCATAATTGCGGGCAAAAGCCGGCCCGATGAAGATTGAAACATATGTATACTTAATGAATTGTCTCATAAACCATTTGGTGCAACCAGAATAACTATTTTTAATGTGAGAAGAATGGTAAGTAGTTGATGAAGGCCGTGGCATTTTTTCTTACTGGATTAATATTCCACACAATCTCCACCGCACGGCCGCTCTGTTATTATCATTATTGAAATCGTGTTAAGAGTTTGTCGCCATAAGCTGAACCGCCGTACTAGATATCACAACTAGGAGGTTTCCGCACATCTCGGTGAGGACGTACGCGTGTGTGTACGCGTACTGAAAATTACCCGGTTTAATTATAGTTTAAAATTATAGTCAAAGTACTTAGACCGGCGCAAGAGTGCGACGGACGCACCGACAGACGCAACACCGGCAGCCAAAGCAACGACTGACATTCGGCTCTACGCAAATAAATATAATTAGAATTTACGAGATACCGGTGGCAGGCCGTCTTCTCGGTTTCTTTACTACTGTACTTAAATAAATAGCGCTACTCGTAAATTTGCAATGGATACAGGACCGTATTAAAAATTGGGTTCGCGAGAGGCAACGCTCCTGTCCATGTCTTTGCGTGGGCGGGTCACGCGTTTCGTTATTTTGCCTTTTTCGTTAATCGCAAATTCTTTTTTTTTTTAATGAATCGAGCGACTGCGATACATACAGGATGGGTGCCGATCCACGCATATAGCTATTGCATTATATGGGGGCCGTTAATTCTGTTAAACTGATGCGCTTTATGATGAAATTTAACACTAATTTTAGAAAAATTACAATAATTTGGTATTGTTGAGTAAATTAGAAATTAGTATACTTGCGTTCTCGCAATACTCCTTGAAATATCTAGAGGACACTTCCAGAATTAATGACGTTAGACTGTTTCAAATTCATACTGTATAATCTTTAGCTGTTTGCGCGGCCGTATTTTTTATTTCACGTCGTATGATGGCACAATATTGCGTTGCCAACTGCAATAAGTATTCTACTTTTTTGTCAATAATTCTATCCCCCCCTCTCTCTCTCTCTCTCTCTCTCTCTCTCTCTCTCTCTCCCCCCCCCCCTCTCTCTTTTTCTTTCTCTCTACTAGTCTTATTTTCTGGTAATGGTAGGTATCCACTACCTTTTTATCCAAGATTTACTCTAGTTTTCTAATTAGGGGTACAAACACAAGTATCTTCTTTACACAAGAGAATGCTTATTTTGACATTGCCACCGCTAATAAAATAGCAGTTATAATTCACAATTATAATACCCTTAGTAAACTAACCAACCAGATAGGTACTCCAAAATTATTATGTAGCTTTGTCTTGTTGAATTCCTACCAAACAATTTAAAAGATCTAAATTTTAAACAAAAAGCTCTTTTGATACCGAATTCTGTTTACTTTTCCATAAATTAAAGCTAACACTGTGCTGTATTTATCCACACCTGCAAGCTTTGTTTTTATATATTATGTTTAAGAGCGTGTTGATGAATTTATTTTTTAATAATTTGATTTGTCAAATTCTGGGGCTAATTGAACCGTTTTTTAATTGCATACATTTTCGATGTCCGTTTTTATTTGAATTTATACGTGTAACTATAATTTACACAAGAATGCGGCGACCAAATCCGAAATCGCGTAAACATTAAACGTACCGGATAAATTGTTCTTCCTAGAATCTTGTTAACCACGTTGCATTCACACAAGAATAACTCCAGAGAAAACCGTCAATTATGCCCGGTAGAATTCCTTATGAAACGCAAAATTAAGCGTTGAAGTGATCATTTCTGCAAATAAGTAGAATAAAGAAAGGCTTTATTACATACCGCGCAATTAAATTCTTGTGAGTGTTTTGTCGGAGAGAGGCCATCGTTAAAAAAAAACTCGACTCTAAACGCGACCATTTCTACGAAAGCACGTCAGCAGCGCTTGAGGGAAACTAAAATTATTACTGATTTTAGGAAAAGAAAGGATAATTATAATCACATTTGAAAGAAAGAGAGTGAATAAAAAAGGGAATCAATTACGGTAGTTTTGTTCGGATAACTCTCGGGCTGAGTGAAAAAATAAAGAAATCGAAGTCCAATAACACCAGTGCGTATAGTTTTCACTGTTGACTAAAGCAGAATTTACATTAGACTAGCACCGTTTTAATTAAAATTGTATTTTCTCTAATAATATTACCCACTGTTGGGTAATATTACGGATATAACAACACATTTTCGTTATTATGATTATTATTATTATATTCTGCGTACCAACTAACTATTTATACGTCAAGATCTGACTCCACTGCTATCATGCTCATCTAACTATGGTCAAACATTAACTTCAATATTTATTTCTTACGTAGTTCGTTAACTTTCAGTGTTTTGTTTATTTATGTTTCTATTAACCAGCTGCAAAGTAGCTGAAACGACGACAGTTCAAACTAAATGTGTCATATTTAGAAAAGATATTAGAAAATAATTAGGCAGGTGATTAATTCAGTGCCTATTGGTTATTTTTGTAATTAAATGGTATGTCTGAAAAATATGTTTTCTGACCTACAAGGTTAGCAACTTTCCATCTAAGAATAAAAGAACGGGCGTTCTAAAAATCTACCCTCTCAATACATTTGTAGATAAAAATTTTTTCTCGGTTGCTTTATTTTGTGAACCATGTGAATTGCGAGATCGAATTTTGAACCGGTTTCTTCCGTATTTCTGTATTATTAAGAAGAAATGATTAACAGTAGTGAAACGCAACGTTTTTTATTGCTTGAGAGGAATTAGTGGTTTTCAGGGTTGATCTTTATTGAATCATTTAAATGTTTTAACAGTTAAGGTCTATAGGCTATAAGGTTTACCTTCAGACTTTATATTGCCACTAGTGGAATATGCTGACCTCATTTGGTATCCTTTTGATGAAATTCACATTGTTAAGCCAGAAAATATTCTTAAGCACCTCAGATCTAGTTAGTATACCTTACCTCTTATTACCTATATTATATTAATCTAACCTAATCTAACATTACGATGTAGTTTTTATTACATTTTAAGCTACCTTAAGAGCTTTTAAAATATTTGGTAACTTATTGAGACAGCTCTGTACCTGTTAACTAAATGAACTTTTATTTTGTGCCGTTCTGTGTCAGATTGCCCAAATATTTGTTGTGTATGCCTTGAATCTAGATTTTGGTCGTCATGCCTAATTTTTTTTTTTTTTTTGGTATAATTAGTGTGGACTTTTGGTAGAGAGAGGGATGTAAAAGTATTCCTTCTCCCATTAGGATTCATCCAATTTCTGTCACATTGCCAGTCACTCCCATATCGTACTTTCTTGTCCACCCTAATAGGTGAGCACTATGTGCATTTTATATTTTAATTTTAAAAGGCATTGGCCGAAGACAATAAAAGAAAATTTAAACTATGACAAGGCCAAAATTTCGCATAACAGATTTTTGAGTTTAACATTTCGTAATTTACGTGGGTTAGTTTTGGTAATCCTTTTTATCAATATGTTCTGTATATCTTAACTTTCCTTCTACTACCAGATCCAAACTCCTAACATTGATGGAAATATCTAGTTCTTGTGTACCCACAATAATGTTTAATTGGTTGGAATGTTATTTTCTTAATCTTATGCATCCAAAGTACTTGTAAATATCAATAATTAACTATTATTTAATGAAATTGTAAAATGGTGTAACCGTAAATAATAATAAATAAATCAAAGCTTCTTGCCGCCAAAGAACTAAACGCGCATATTTGGTACCACATACGTTATGCAGCTGATACCGAGCAAAAATCAGTTTTCCTTTGTTTTATTGTTTACAAATCCACACGGATACTTGTCGTTTGTTCCATAACAAACAGCAGCAGCGGCGTATCGCCTGTCGCCATCAGCATCAGTCTTCTGCACCGGAACGGGGCCCTATGATCCATCGTCGCCGCAGAGAATGCAGCAGGAGTCGGCGGCAGGCGGGAACAAGGGACCCTGGTGACGCTGACGAGGACGACGTGCCATTTGTATACATCTCGGGCCGGAAGATCGTCTGGAAGTAGATAAATGGGTCTGAGTGAGGCGTGTTTTGAATTGGGAAAAATTGTACAACGATGAGTGCGCGTAACGTCAGTGTCGTTTTTTTTTCGGTTGCTGCGTGGACGGCTCATTTGCTTAACATCGCTTAATCAAAAATTTCGTTATTCGTGTTTAATTAGCTAAGGCAAAATTGCGACAAAGTAATTATGTATTACATTAGTTTGTATCAGAGATTGTGTAATTCACACACTCTATTTTTTTTTTTGATTACTTTAACAATCTCGGCCATAGAGAGGTTTCTCAAACATAACTACAGTTTTTAACTATTCGGTTTCACGAATCAACAAATACATCGGGTGGAATTATTTTCCATTGTCAGTATAAAAGCGAAAATTGGTTGAACGTTGAACTCCGACTGGAATCCTGCAAATCCTGCATCCGACTGGAATCCTGCAGACGTTTCGCCAAAATCTCACTTGGCATCTTCAATGCTCGCGCTCCGAAAACACTTCGAACACGGAGCGCGAGCATTGAAGATGCCAAGTGAGATTTTGGCGAAACGTCTGCAGGATTCCAGTCGGATGCAGGATTTGCAGGATTCCAGTCGGAGTTCAACTAGCGAACGGATGATATCCCGGAATATAGTGTCATCACATTTTTCCATCCGTGAATCAATACGTGAGAATATATATATATATATATATATATATATATATATATATATATATATATATATATATATATATATATATATATATATATATATATATATATATATATATATATATATATATATACAAACAAAATGTTCTTTTTGTTTGTATATAGCATACCAACACATGCGGGATAACTAATCTGCTTGAGGCAAGCAAGACAGGTCTAGTGACCACCTATGAATGAAGCTCTAATAAATGTTCAACTTGCCAAGGACAAGAGAATCACGCAATTAACTGAAGCTCGCTTGATAATAGTGATCCTACTGCCGATGTCCCTAAAATTGAGAAGCCCCTATTAAAAAGTACCACTGGTGGAGCCCTTGGTGGACAACCTCACACTTGACAACATACAACTCGGCCATGGATGCTTGGCTATATTATATATCATAGGTTTTGGAATAATTGTTGTATTTGATAACGGTCAGTGAAACAACTGACCCAAACGTTGTATAATTTTATTTATTTTTCCGTAGGGTTATTCATGTTGGTTGAGAATTTTTAGATATTTTTTTTAATGCCTTGTCCCGGTTTTGGTTATAATATCATTAGTTTGAACCAATTGCTTCATATTCAAAGGTTTAAGCGATTATGTGTAAAAAATTAAGAAAAATTAAAACTGCAAGTTTTCATTATGCCAATGAAATATCCACATCTAGAATTACCTAAC